AGATCTTGCCGTGCCCCTGCCCCCATCCTCCACCATGCCCGGCAGACAGGAGGCTGATACAATGCCTTCGCAGAATACAAATTGTTCTGTACGTAACAACAAACGAGAGAAAATATATACATAGGGTAAGAATGGGAAAAGGCATGAAAAATGTAAGAACCTGATTTGTTGGCTTGAAGGGGTGAATTTTTAAAAATTTAAAAATATCCATTATGAGGTCTATTCATGTATATAATAAATAAAAGTACATTTTGTTCAAAGCCTTGTTGAAAGCACATCCCTGGCCGGACTCCTGGTCTACCAGATGAGTAACCCATCAAAGGAAGAAACCAGACGAGTTAGGTGTAAAAGGTGTTTAGTGGACTTGTGTCGGCGCCTGGTGCTCAGCACTCTGTTTAATGATGTGTTCTAGGATTTTGCTGGGAATATGCATCAATCGCCATCACCTGTGGAATACAGTTGTATAATGGCATTGTGGTTAAAATCATAGGCTTTGAAGTCACAGATGGAGGTTTGACTTCTTGTTCTACCTCTGCCTTTGGGCCATTATGTAAATCCTTTGAGCCTCAGTATTCTCATCTGTAAACTAGGCATTTCTTCCCACACAGCTGCTGTGAGCATAAACAGAGGTAATGAATTTAAGTGCGCATATTTAATGATGGGAAGAATGACTGTCATCAAATTCCTCTCTTTTTCACCATCAATACCATCTCAAGAGACAAAAGAGCCAAGATTTTGACTAGTCAGAGAACTATCACAAAGACTCTAAGGGTTCTGTTGGTAGGCCTGAAAAGAACAAGCAAATTCAGAAAATATGAGATTCCAAGACATAAGTTTAGTAGGAGCCTGCGTCTAGAAAAGTTTTTAATAAATAAAAAAGGGGCAATTATTGGCCACAAGCGCCAAGCAAACCCAGACACGCGTCTCACCGCTGCCAGCCGGTGACAGTTCTGAGAAGCCCAGAAGTTCCCACCCTTATTCCCACACTACACATGCTGCGTAATTTTGCTGAGCCCCAGGCAGCTCAGAAACATCCCTAGAAGAGAAATTCAGTTTCTTATTCAAATCAGATCAATGATTACCCTTAGTAACCTGTCCCTCCCTGGGCCCACAGGGCCGACACCCCCGTCTTGCACTACAGCAATCCAGGTAAAATACAGCAGAGCCAGACGACCTGGGTTCAAGCCCCGTTCCACTACTGTTGCGCTCTGTGACCTTTGCCAAGCCTCCCTGTGCTCCATTTTCCCCACCAATGAAAGGGTGGAACCCCAGCACCGGCAGGCGGAATACAGGGTGTTCAGCAAACGCTGGCAATGACAGACGTACTCGTGCAAACCCTCCAGTGCACGATGTCAGAAGCAGCAGCAGCCAGAACAGGAACTGACAGCAGGGGAACTTGAGGACCACAGTGGCCACATGAAGCGGAGTGCCAGGCGGGGGCTGTGACGATACGGCCCCTCCGCCACCAAGCCTGCTCAGGGCAGATCCACCCACAGTGCATGCCTCGCTGTGTCCTGAGCGAGGGCCATGAATCCCAGTCTTCCCAGGACCGAGGGGGACAGAAGCCACCTGAAGAAGGCAGGCTGCTTGGCCATCTGTGGCACCTGTGAGGGAGCCCCCCGGGGAAGAGCAGCTGACTACCCCCCGCTCTTCCCTCCCACTCTGCCCACATCTTCCAGCACTGAGCCTCTGGAGAGCCCCAAGAAAGAAGAAAGTTGTTCCTGGTTCTGTTTTGTATGGTGGGAGGGGCGGGAGTAAATAAGAAGGAGAAAGGGCCAAGTAGCTGGTTACATGGTCTTGGCACACTTTTCCTTTCCATAGAGGACCTTCTCACAGTAGCTGTGTAAAGGCAGGGAAATGAAAACGGGGATCATAGGAGGGTCTCGGTGGCTGGAATAGGTTCCCCAGCAGTCCTCGGGGGACTCCCTGTGTTCAACAGGGCAGGTGCCCCTTCTTCGAGGTCAGCGCCCCACTGACCACCTGGCCGCAAGCCTCTCTGCACGCGTCCATTCTACTAACCCACAGCACCTTGCTGCTCGCCTCAAGTCCTTCCTCGACTCACAAATTCACAAATGCCTTTCATGCAAAGCGGGCCTTTTAATCCTTGTAACAAACCTCCAACATACATGCCACCCCCATTTTATAGCCACAGAAAGGAAGGCTGAGAGATTACGCAGCATCTCTGAGATCACCTGGTAGGAAAGTGGCGGCACAGGTCTTGCCTCCATGTTGGTCATCCTGCCATGTCACAGGCGGCCTCTGGCCCAATTCACCTACTCTGACTCCTCAAGCCTGGGTGGGCTGCCCGTCTTCCGTGCCCGCCCGGGGTTTCTCTGGAATGCAGTTTTTAGCACACAGAATTTTATTCCCTGGCGCCCACACTACACTGGCTGTTCCCTGAAGGCAGAGACTATAACTGGGATCTTTCCCAGTCTGTTGCCCTGTAACTGACACATGCTCCATCGGTGGGTATCTAATAAATATCTGTGAATACGTGACGAGTGAATGTTTGACCTATTAACAAAGAGATGACTCTGAATAGCCAGAGCTGTACAGCCCAGCCCCACGACATCTGACTTCTCAATCCTGGTTTCCATTCACCGAGGGCATACCAAGGCTTACACGGGGCAATCCGGACCTGACAAGGAACCAGTGGGTGCCGCAGCAACTTCATGGCCACCATCACATATTCAGCAGAGGCCAGAACACGCAGTGAGGCCGGCGCCCCAGTTCTTGCTAACAGTCATGGTAATTGGCAGCTATACGCCTGCTCTCACACAGGCAGGGCTCACACAAACCCCAGACACGCTCAAGCACCAGGGCTCCAGAGGAAGTGGGGAGTATTCTGAAGGGGGCCACTTCCTGATGCATGGGAACAGGCAGGGGTGGGGCAGTGGCTGGAGTCATCAGCCTTGTGAAGGATACAGCCAGACACAAGTACCACCAAGTAGAACCTTTCCCAGAAGCAACTGCAGGAGCTGGCATGACCTACTGAGGCTCTGTGGACACGGAGGACAACGCCAGGGGAGGCAGCCACACCTCCTGGTCAGGGGACAAGAGTCTGCAGACCCTGACTGCAAACATCGTCGGGTGGCCCAGGGACTGAGACAGCTGGTGAGGGAACGGGCTTTGGGCCCAGCAAGCCGCGTCCTGCACACACATTGTGTCTGCTTACACACACCTCTTAGTGTGGCACTCAAGGCTGTAAGTTCCCGAAGGGCAACAACCATGTCTTACTTGCCTTAGAGAGCCCTCCCTGCCTCCGTGCCTGGTCAGAATGAGAAACATAGCTGGTTCAATGGAGCTCGGCGGGAGAAAAGACCGAGTGATTCACATAAAGAAAATTTCCAAATCGGAAGTGGAAGGAAGAGCACAGCGGGGTGGAGAATGGATGAGCGTCACAGAACAGGAGAAAATGAGCAGGGCCGAGGGGAAAAGGAAGCACGGGCTTGCAGGTGACAGGAGACATCAGTGGGCCCCTGGAGCTCAGGGCAGAATGTGGAGGTGGGCCCCAGGCCTGGCCAGGGCGGGAGGAGGGGGCATAGGCAGAGAGATGACTCAGAGGAGACTCCAGGAAGACCCTGCTCTCCCAGTGCCAGCAGGAGAAAGTCCCAAAAGAGAAGTCACAAAGCAAAACCGCCCTGAAATAACAAATACCAAACAGCAGGCTCTCTGCTGAGGAGGCTGGAGTCCAGGGCCTCAGTAGGCAATTACCAAGGGCTCATAAACATGGCAATTACAGAAAGGAAAACAGAGAGCATTCATTCATCCAGGTGAAGCTGGCTCCATCGGGCAGAGGCTCACAGAAGCACCGGCCCAGCCCCCAGGCCGGGCTTGCTCAAGAAGGAAGTGGAAAGGGAAGAAACAAGTTCTATCCGTGGTTCGGCTGCTGCAAGCTGCCTAAGCCAAGATGATGCCGGGAGAAAAGGAAGGGATTTTGAAGGGCTCCAAATCTGACCTGGCATGGGAGCGATGGCACAGTTCGGGGCGGAGAGGACGTTCCTGGGCGCAGGAGCAAAGGAGAGAGCAGGGCACAGGTGGCCCGTCTTTTGCAGTGGCGAAGCTCCCTTACAGAACAGCCCCTGACGTTCAGTGTCCACTCAGTGCTAGTCCTCCCCTGGCCTTCCAGGAAACTGGGGACCCCGCTGGGCAAAGAGGTGGAGATTTGACTGCCAGTCCTGCCTGAGCGCTGCCACCCAGGTGTGTCCCTCAGTAAGGTAAATAACAACCCATCCCCAGTTCACCCTTAACATAATGTCTTTGAGATCTCTCGCATCTCTCATTGTCCTTCCTGCCAAATAAGGGCCTCAGCTTCGCTGTCTTCTAGAAGGCTCAAGACACCTGTTCCCACATCCCTCCCCATTGTCACCTTCCCAAAAAGCCGTCCTCTCTTAGAAAGGCCCAGACAAGCCCCACCCTGGAGTTTTTAGCTCCAGGCTCCATGGATCCCAAAGCTCTGGTCTCCCAGGTCCCCTGTGCAGAGGGCATAAAATGCCTCTGGTCAGCAAGGAGAAGACAGATTCCTGAAGAGCCCAAGGAAGGCTAGGACTCCAAAGTCCCCTGGAAACCTCCTTTCTCCCACCCGAATCACCCACTCCAAGTCTCCGCCCCCGGTTCCTTCTGGGGGTGCTCTGATAGTGCGGAGCCCACGGAGGGCCCTAGGTGGCCCCCTTTTTTCCTCGGAGATTGGCATCTCCCAAAACCGGAGCCTTCCCGCCCCCTCGGAGGCTGGCGCGCAGCAGGACAGGTACCAAAGGTCCTGGGGCCAGGCACCCGCCAAACAGGAAATTCCACCTGTCGGGCCAGCACCGCGGCCACAAAGGGGCAGTGGAGCGGTGCCTGGGCCAAGACAAAGCCAGCGCGGCGGGGGCCGGGCGCCCTCTCGGCCGCCCAGCTCCGGGACACACCCGGCGCCCCGGCCCGACGGCGCCCGCGGAGCCCGCGCCCCTCTTCCCGGCCGGAGGGCGCCCTGACTCCCCGCCGCCCGGGCCCTCGCCCACCTCCGGCCGCGAGCTGTACTTGAGTCCCGCGCCGAGGTCCTTGGAGCCCCCTCCGCCCTTGCGACCCCGACTGCTCTTCATGGTCCCGGCGGCCGGTCGCGGGTCTCAGAGGCGGCGTCCCCGCGGGCGGCCGGCTCCCATCGCCGCCGGGTCGGGGTCTCCGGAGACGCGGGGCGCGGGGCCGGGGCGGTGCGGCGGTGCGGACGGTGCGGACGGTGCGGGCGGTGCGGGCGGCGCGGCGGTGCGGGCGCAGCGGCGGGGCTTCCGGAGCAGGCGCAGCGCCCGGCCGTGCGCTCGTCGCCCTCCCGCTTCCTGTCCCGCGCAGGTAGTTTCAGGGTGTGGCCTCCCCGGACCCGCCCCGCCGGCCACTCTCGCCTGCACCTTTCCCAGACCCGCCGCCGCTTCGCGGCTCCCGCCTCCCGCGGAGCCTCGGGAGCCTCCCCCCTGCGGGACAGGGGAAAGAGGGCCACCGGCCTGAGGGTGGCGGAGCGTAGCAGGGGCCCCCTAACTGCCGGTGGCCATTAGCGCCCACTGTGCCCGCACGCAGGGGACGGCGCCTAACAGCAAGCTGCCCGCGCGCTCGTTCTCCCCGGGAAGAAGTGCCTTTTCCCTTCTACCCACTTCCCGATGCCAACCATGGTTCCTCTCCCTCCCTCTTGAAACTTCAGCCTCCACCGGCTGCATGGCTAGGTCTCGATTACCACCTCTCCAAACCCAAACAGAACCGGACTGCCCGGGCAGCCGCCCCGTGGCCAGCAGCTGCCCCTTTGTCATTGTTAGAGGCCTGGCTGGCCTGCTTCCAGCGCTCCCCGGGGGAGCCACCCGAATCCTCAGCTGCCCAACCAAATGCCCTCTTGTCTGTTCCCAGCGTCCTCCACGCGCTTGCAGCATCTGACAAGGATCGATCCCATTCTCCATGCCCACCCGCCCTGGATTCTGGTCCTACTCTCTGGCTGCTAAACCCACGATTTCCAAAGTCCCCACCCCCCTCCGGTTCCTCTACACATTCTTGGTTTCTCCTCTTACGGCTTCAGCTAAGTAACACTGCCTTCCTAGCATCAACACCATGAAGCACTGGCGATTCTGCACTAACGATGGCCTGGGAACCTCTCCATTTGTGTTCTACTGGTATTACGTAGTCAACAAATATTATTGAGCACATATTATATGCTAAGCACTCTTCCAGGTGCTGGGAAACAAGAGTAATTTTTTTTTTTTTTAATCCTGCTTTGTAGTCCACAAGCCCGGGCTTCCTTTCCAGGTTAGCTAGCCCATCTTTCAGTTTCCTCTGGTTAGAATAGCATCATCCCCATAGGCTCAGAACCCTGGAATCATCTTTAACGCCACCTCCTCCTTACATCTGCTTTTGTTGTTGTTGTTGTTAATCCTCACCAGAGGATATTCTTTTCATTGAGTTTTAGAGACAGTGGAAGGACAAAAGGAGAGACAGAGAGAGAAATATTGATGTGAGAGAGACACATCGATTGATTGCCTCCCACATGCTCCCGGACCAGAGCCAGGGATCTAACCTGCAACTCAGGTATGTACCCTTGACCTGGAATTGAGCCCTTGACCTTTCAGAGCTCGGGCCAAGGCTCCAATCACTGAGCCATACCAGCCAGGAACCCTTTACATCTTATATCCAATGAGTCCCAAAGCTGGTCCAGCCTTTCTCTCAAGTAGCTGATATGTGGAGGTCCCCCCCCCATTTAGAAGACTCCTGTTTACACCCTCATCACCCTTTGCCCAGAGTTGTGTAAGAAGCAGTGGATCTGCCTCCAGCTCGCCGCCCCCTGATCTCTTCTGCACACAGCAATCAGGTTCATCTTCCTCCGCCACAGCTTCTTGAAAACCTTCAGTGTCTCCTGGATCAAGGCCAGCCTCCTCAGTAAGGCTCTCACAGTGTCACCTGCCTCCTTTTGCAACCTTGCTTCCCAGCATTCCTAACTGGGCTCCTCTGCAGCCAGGCTCTCCCACCTGTGCACCTTTCCTCATGCCTCTCATTCACTGGGAAGCCCTCCTCCTCCACAGTCTCCTCGGCGTATTGAGACAGTCACCTACGGTAGTCATCAGCAGTATTCACTAATAGTTTCTAGCTTTCTACTTTCTGGGCACAGGCTAGGATGGCACTCCCTCTCCTTTGAAGTTAGGTGTGGCCATATGTCTAGCTGTGGCCAAGGAAATGTCAAATGAAGCGATACACACCACTTCCAGGGAAGAGCATGAGGAGGCAATGCATAATCCTACTCCCCTTCCCCGTGCAAAGTCAGCCTGGGAACACATATTGAGGTAAAACTTCTATGGCCCTATGACCCTAGGTAGCTGCAATGTGCAGAGACCTCCATGCTGTGCACTGGACATGTAACATAAGTAAGAATTAAGCTTCTGGGACGTTAAGCTACTGAGAGTTGAGGGTTGTTCATTATTGCAGCAAATCTAGCCCATCCTAACTGATATTCTGTCTTCTCTATGCGGTTTTCCTTCCCTCTAAACCACAACTAGGTCTGTTTGTACCTCTGTCGTGGAATTTGTCACCTTTGCGGTCCTGTCAGTGTCTTACTCATTCTTCGAGTCCTCAGAGCCTAGCACAATGATTAGCATAATAAGGTATGTCAGTTTTATAATAGAAAATAAACCTGCTACCTTCCATCATAGAAAGCATTCCAAAACTAAATAGAAGATATTAAAAAATGATTTTCTGTACATTGAGACAAAGTTACTTATGGTCCTTCGTAGGTAGTATGTTGGTACAACAATTACCAATGGCATAATAGCTTCCAGTTAATGTGGATGATTGACAGTAGCTGGTTCCAACGTAACATGAATGAGGTGTCACTCAGGGCACTAACCTGCTGCTCTGCTGCCAAAGGAGTGTCTCATATTGTCTCCCAGGTTCCTAGGGCGTCATCTTTTATCTCTTGGAACTAATAAATGCCTTGCATTTAGAAGGCACTCAGTGCTGTCATTTGGGTGCAGTACACATGCAATGCATTTACCGCGAACCCAGATGACAAGAAAATGGTGCAGGTCATGACCCTTCCCCTATGGCCACCATGTTATGTCCACTGACACTAAACCCATTTGGTTTAATCCTCATAACATTATATATGTGAATTAAGTACTCTTATTTCTAAACTGTAAGTGAAGAAACCTGAGACCACAGAACCTAAAGGACTTAGCCAGGTTCTCACAGTCACAGGGGTAGATACAAACTCAAACCCAGATTTCAACCAGAGGCTCGTGTCATTTGTAGGCAGCAGTGACCAATTTGTACAACCTCCATCGCCATTCTCCTCTATGCCCCCAAACCTGCCATCTCTCGGATGAGTCCTTCTCTTCCCTTCCCCAGGACTCTGCCTGCTGGACCCCCTCAGAGGGCTGCTCCAACTGGCCCCTATGACTTTGGGACCAGGGCCTCTTACAGGGTGTACGTAGAAGTGTGGACCTGACCACAGACCAGAAGACACCAGCTTCTACTGGTAGTAACGTGGGAGGGTGGGGCACATCCGGTAGACCCAGCCCAAGTTTGAAGTCACAGAGCTCTGTGAAAGGGCGGCAAATCCTGCTCCCGCGAGAAGTCTGCAGACCAGGGGGGTGGAGAGGGTTGGAATGAACGGGCAAGGCAGAGTGAACTAGTTGTGGGGCTATCACCCAGGAATGCATCTACATCTTCTGGAACAAGGTTTATATGTTTGACCTGCCCAGTGGAAGGTGCTTTGTGGAAGGTAAAAATGCACTTTTTAATACCAGTTGTTTAGTAGCGACGAGGGGATGCTGCCTTCTCCCTGGAGGACCCCAGCCACCATCACCCAGTGCACAGCTGGAGGAGACTGAACACTGTCCCAGGGCCCCGGCCTCTCCAGTGCCAGCCCATCGGCCTGAATCCTTCCCACTGCACTCCAGGCCGCTTTGTCCCTTCTCCCAGTGAAATCCAAACCCGGCTAAAACATCACTTCTGCGGCACTTTCTTCCTAGTACATCTCTTCTCAGTTCCCGGGAAGCAGTTCAGCCCTCAACCACAGCTCATGTTACCGGCACTCCTGATACACACAAGAGCTCTCTGAATAATGTTGCAAAACAAATGGGTGAGGACAGTCTGTGAAGCCGATGAGCACGTTGTCAGATTAAGCGTGATCTCAGACTTGTGTTCTTGTGTTTCTTCATTTAAAATGTAAGAAGAAAAGCACTTACCTCATATGTCATCAGTTTATGAGGATGCCCTGGCCAGTTTGGCTCAGCGGTTAGAGCATCGACCTGCAGTCCAGAGAGACCCGGGTTCGGTTCCCGCTAAGGGCATGTACCTTGGTTGCAGTTTGTCCCTGGCCCTGGTTGGTCGTGCAGGTGGCAGCCACTTGATGTGTCCCTTTCACATCAATGTTTCTCTCTCTCTCTCTCCCTCCCACTCTATCTGAACAAAAAATGGAAAAAAATGTCCTCGGGTGAGGATAAAAATAATAATAATAATGTTTATGAGGATTAAACGGAATGGGTTTAATGGAATGACATATTGTTACACTTCCTCCTCTGTCACACACACAGCACGCACTCAGTAAGTTGACCTGACTCTGTGGTCACAGAGGAAGGGTCCTGACCGGTGCCACTCTCTCTTCGTCTGGATTGGTGGCGAGTGCGTTGCACGTGCACTGCACCCAAATGACAACACCGGCACCTTCTGAGTGGGAGGCATTTATTAGCTCCAAGAGATAAAGGACGATGCTCTGGGAACCTGGGAGACGATCCGAGACACTCCTTTGGCAGAACAGCAGGTTTTAGTGGCCTGAGTGGCACCTCATGTATGTTACCTCAGATCCAGCCGTCTTGGTAAATGGCTTCATCACCCATTGAGCCAAACAGTTCTAAAGACAGCACTGACTTCTTATGCCACCCCAAACAAACAAACAAACAAACAAACAAACAATCAGATGTCTGTCAGCTCCATCTCCAGAATACGTTTGGGATCTATCTACTCCTCTCTTTCGCTACTGCAGTCTCTCTTTCCCAGCTGCCATCACTTCCCCCGGACTCCCATCGCCTCCCGAAAGCTCGGCCTCCTTCCACTGGCCCCACTCACCGCGGTCGCCGTGGAGGACACGAGGCCTGCCGCCCTCCCCTTCGGAACACAGGGCTCCTGAAG